TAGAAGCTCAGAACCAGGAACAGCCGAGGCGCTACAAACTCACTGTGCTGGAGAGGATAACACTCCAGCCTTAGACAAATGTTTTGACCTTCAGCGAACCGGAGGGTTTACCTCTCGAGACCAAGCAAAACAACGTATTTTACCTAAAAGGACATTTCATATTTTTCTTTGGTGCTTTCTTTGAGGGATTTCTACATCTTCAAACACAACACCAGGCCGGGGAGATAACCTAGCTAGCGAGCAAGTGGAGAGGTTTTGTCCCAGAATGGACGGAGGAGTTGTGACTGAAAAGAAAAGGTAACGCTGTTAGCTACATTTCGCTGTTTTGAAAGGGTCGTATTTGTTTGCGATTTTGTGCGGAACGCTAAGTAAATACCACACCGCGGCGGTCGATGTGATATTGAGTGTTATATCGTGTTTGAATTGTTAGCCAGCTGGGTAGTTTTTCCAGTCAGGCCGCCATTTTGTTCTTGTTGGCTGTGTGGCTCGCTAGCAGGCCGTTATTAATGTTATTATTATAACACATCATTTCTGCAGCTTTAACTAACATTAGCGAGCTGACTTTACGAATGAACCAATGAACCAGCAACAGTGGCTAAAATAACTAGTTTACTATGGTAGCAAGGATCTGTGAGCCTGGTTTAGATGTTAAGCTGCGACTAAACTGTTCTTGCTAACAGCTAACAGTGCCACGTTATTATTGTTGGTAGCTAAGCTAGCTAATCACTGCTTAAAGACATGCGATCGCACCCTGTCAATTCGACCCATCAAACATGATAAACATGGTTAGTCTATCTAGCCGAAGAATCTGATTAGCTAATTAATAACTACATTTGCTTGGTTAAGATCGGTTTTAACGAAACTCCACAAACACAGAAATTTGCCGTTCTCAACTAGCTGGCTAGCTGATGTTACTGTAGCACCTCAATTGCGTGTGAAGTTAACTTTGTCCAAAAAGCAAATTAGTTAGCTGCTGAGTCTAACGTTAACCTGACATGGTGCGTGGGGAGCACTCGTTAGCTAACAAACCAGCTAGATCCAGCTGTTTATTCCCCTTATGAATTGTAGATAGCCACATAGCTAAGAGACTATGTTAGTGTGACAGGTTGCTATTGAATGTTTGTTATCAAAATAATAAGTCGTATTTTTCGACTGACTTGGCTTAATAGTGTCACTTCCAGTACAACTCCTGCTTTTATTGTTGATTCCTAAGTCTCCATATTCCTGCTGTTGTCAGCGGTTCTCTCGAGTCTTTTTGCAAGTGATGGAGCTTTATAGAGCTTAGATTACAGGCCAAACACATTTTAATAAAAACTAATGTAAAAAGTAAAGAGCTTTCTTTGACATCCTCGTTATTCAGTGTGCAAGTCAGTGTTGTAGCAACATTTAGATGCTGTATCGGATTTTCAGCAATTGTTCTGCGCGGGGTAAAGTCTTGCGATCCTGGGGTCAAGTTGGGACATTTTCTTGGGTTGTAAGAGTAGGTGCTGCGGCGTCATAAAGGTAGCCTTTGGTTGTTTGACATGAATTTTTAGCCATGGGGGGGAATGGATAACACGTTTTTTGACAAAATATGTTATTCCCCGCCTCCCCAAATAGTGATTTATTGACATGGCAGAGTACCGTAGACAGGGTGTCCGTTTTGTGTAACGGAGTATTTGCATATTTCACCCTTTGAATTTTACAGCCCTTATGACCATGTCCTGTTGTCTGTGATATGATGCCTTGATTTACATCAAAAAAACTACATCAAATTATAGCCCTGATTATGGAAAAACGGACGCGTTCAGCGTGAATTATATTTCGAGGAAAGCCGTAACTTTGAAATGCAGCACGCTTGTATGTCCTGTGAATACACCCCTGCACTTTTACGCGGCCCCTCAGCTGTCAGTCGTTGAGGAGCTTGCCCAGGATGGACTTGATGGAATGAAGGTCGTGTTATTTGGGTCTGAGAGCGTCAGGAATAGTGCTCAATCACCTTAACCGCCGCAAAGTAGGGCGACGGAAAGAGAAGAATTCCTTTGTGAAAGACCTGTGGAGGAGGATAATGACAGCAAAATCCTGGCATTGGGTATAAATGTGAATTGGACTGCATGCAGGTGGCGCATACATGGAGGTTACAGATTCTCAGGTGTGTTGTTTATTGGGTGGATTTGGTCCACCCCTTCAAGGGTTGATAGTGACAAGTAGTACAGTGAAATCCTCACTTAAGGCAATGTAGATCTTAACGTGATTTTCTCATGTCTTTTGTCCCCTGACCTGGCCGGTCCAGGTATGTCTTTGTGAGCAGAACTGTGTTTGTTTGGCCTCAGGACCTTTCAGGTACTCGGACAGGAGTGGTCTTGTCGAAAAGTGTAATCACATTTCTGTAGCACAGAAGTTGTCAGGAAGAATAGAATAAAATGGGTGGCGGTATAGCATAGTGGTAAGGAGCGGGGCTTGTAACCAAAAAGTTGCCTGTTCAATTCCCAGCTGGGGCTCTGCTGTTGTACCCTTGGGCAAGGTACTTAACCCAGTTGCCTCAATAAATATCCAGCTGTGTAAATGGGTAAAACTATAAGTAACACTGGATAAGAGCTTTGCTAAATAATGTATATGTAATGTAAAAGAATAAAATCCTGTTTTCTGGCACACATTCTGTAACACGTAACATGCACCTGGTTGTAGTATATATCCATATAAAGACTGTGTGTGCTGACTGGTCACTAAATATGTTCTTTTCTGACACTCATTCTTATCCTGTCTAGCATTAGAGGAGCATTTGCCATACCTGGTATATCTTTGCATTGATCGCTGAAAATATGGTTAGCCGTGTAAAATAAATTGCATCTAGTAACTAATAAAAAGTGAGCCACGATAGCTGTTTTTCTTTTTTAGCTGACAAGCTAGCTTATTGTGAAAGGAAAGCTTGAGAGCAGTTTTTTTCAAGCTTAAGTGGATTCTGCCAATCGCAGAAGAAGCAAACCTCGTCAACCAGGCACTGGCAAAGCAAGGCTGGCACGATTCCATCAGCGAGAACTGTGGGTATCAGTTACACTACCAGCAGGAAGCATCACGAGTTTGACCTCCTTCTTCTCTGGCATTCTGCCCCCCCCCCCCGCCTGACACACCTTTTCCCACGTGTTCTATTTTGAATGAGCTTTCCTGTGGTGTCGCCTCATTCTTTGGAAGATTTACCTGTTTCATCAGCCTTTGACGGTAACCTGGCCGTCAGCACCCAAACAGTGCCTCGCTCATTGCTGCCGATATGTTGCTTCACACTTGCTGCTGCGCTGACGTCAATGAGACTTCCTCCCACAGAATGTGGTAATGCTCTGGCAAAGCTATTATAGAAGTTACAAACCAGCACCCATAGCAGACAGCCCTCACCAGTTTCTTTTTTTTATCAGTTGGTGCATTGCTCAACCTGATAAAATATTGCTCAACTCAGGAAATGTCCACTATTTGTTGTTAAGGAACAGAAATGCTAAGGTCTGTCCAGGCTGCCAAAAAAGGGCAAGCAAGACACAGGATGTCGATCTGTTTATCTGCCTGCTGGGTAGAGATTAGAGATAGGGGCTGACCTTCGTAAACATCATATCGTCATTTCATGAGAAGTTCAACAGTGGAAGGAGAATAACCCTCCTCCGTTCAAGTTGTAGTGCTACACCAGGCAGGCATAGGTGTATCTGTAGAGAAAATGGGGACTTTAGTTTTAAATGGTTTCATTTTACAGTTATTGGCCTGCAGTAATTCCCATGCCTTTTCAAGCAGCGCTTTTTTAAACCACAAAAAATGGGCTCCAGGCACTCCACTGGCAAAATCCTCAATGTTTCCCAGCTGTCATATTTTCAGCAGTCAGCTCATTGTCATTTATAAAAACGCCTTTACCTCCAAATGTACTGCAATTGTGTTTTATTCTGAAATAAAACTCAAAGCAGTAGTTGAGGATTGTCATCAGGCAGTGATGGTTTAATGAACATGCAAACAGTAGAAACATATGAAGCACATGCTAGAAATGCTCACAGTCTGTGCTTGACAATTATTTTAACATCCCCTGTTTGGTAATATCCTGAGTGCTGTCTGGGTACTTTTAAAGTGCCGGGTCAAAAAAAAAAAAAAACTAACATACCGAGCATGGTTTTTTTTTATCTTTGACAGGACCCAAATAGACAGCGCTTTAACTCCTAAGTGTCATTTCAAGCAGGCCATCCAAGCAGGAGTGATGAGGTTTTGTTTAATTGGATCAATGTGCCTCAGGTTAGCCTTTGGAACAGTTCCAGCATGAAGTTGGAAACGGGGCAAAGGGCTTAGGCCCACCGTGGCTGCAACAGCGCTGACACAACATGAATGTTACTTAACCACTCTTTCCTGCAACGGGAATGATGAAGACGAGATTGCTGAAATTGCTTTCCAGCGTCCCCAGCCTTGCCTATGTCTGTGACTGCAGAACCTGCTTCCTGCCTGCCATTTTGGCTTTACCATTAATGACCGTGGTGAGGAGATCTCTAGCATGTTTTTTTTTTTTTTTTTTTTTTTGCGGCATGCGCTTCATTGCGGTCAGATGTGTCAAAGGGCTGTGTTGACTGCGCACCGCGCTCAGCCCAGGGGCGATGGCATGAAGTGGAACGTCTGCTGGCCGCAAGCCACTTCCTTCTTGGAAGGCTGCGTCGTTTGTTTACTTTGTGTATCGCTTGCCCACAGTCCCCGCAGGCCTTTCTGATAGGCCAAGAGGCTGTGGCCTTTGGATCAGGAATGAGGCAGAATCTGCTGCATGTTAATGAATAAGTTCATAAACAAATAAAGACATGCGAAATAAGTTCAGTTTTCCGACGTTGAGGTGATCAAACGCAGATCTCCATGTTTCTCGTTTTCTTTACATTCCTACATTACATTATTACATTATCATTTAGCAGGTGATATTATCCAGATTGACTTAAACAGGTTGCAAGTTTATCCACTTACACAGCTGGCTATTTACTGAGGCAACTGTGGCTTAAGTATCATGCTGAAGGGTACAACAGCAGTGTCTCTGCAGGGAATTGAACCAGCAACCTTTCGGTTACGAGCCCTGCTCCTTACCACTATGCCACACTGCCACCAGTGTTTTCTGCGTGTGAAGTTGTGCACAGTGCTTGTGGGGTTTGTTTGTTTGGTCATCAGTGGATAGCACCTGGCCCTGTTTGAGGTGATTGGGGGGTGTGATGGCCCCCTCCCCCTGTGACGCGTCCCGCAGCGATGGCGGCTCTCGCCTGACCTTCATGCGGCAGCGGCCTCGGCATGGCGGTGGGCTATCGGCTGGCAGACCCCGGGCGCCCGTCCCGGCGCGGCTCACGCATCCATATATAGCTGCCGGTGCCTGCGCCAAACGAAGCGTGACCGGGAGGGGAGAGTCTAAGCGCCCCTGTCCCAGTCGGAGCTCCCAAACCTTCAGAGCTTTACTTAACGTGCGACAGCGCTCCGACCTGGTCGTTCCATGGCCGGAACGGTCCGTTCCACGGTTTACATCACCGAGCAGGTCAGGGGAGAGCCCTCTGACCGCATGTGACCAGTCGAGCCTCCCACCTGCCCGTGCCGGGCTTCTGTTGCCACGGACACAGTCATCATTAGCAGCTGTGGGCCCTCCATTCATTCCAGTGAGTAACAGCCAGGCCAGCAGTCTTCTTTGACCAGCATTCCTTCCAGTATAAGCATGTCGAAAACACGTACGCTAACTATCCAGTATGCAGACCTTACAATATCAGCAGTTAGCTTTTCCATTTCACAAACCTTAATAGCCTTAAATAGCTTGTGGGTTTTTTGTTGTTGTGTTGTATGTGTGTGGGGTGTTGGAGTGAAGAAAACTGCTGATAATATTGGTGCGAATTGTGGGTTTGGCAAGGAGGTGGGAGGGGTTTCCCGTTTTGCTGTAGGCTGATGACATACTGGACTGAAAAGTGAAAAGCATCTACATTGTAACATGCACCCTTGCAGTTAAAGTGGTCCTCTACACTGTGAAATGCCTGTGAAGCTCTTTTTCCACCCGCTACCTGAAGAGACTAGCAGTTTCCTACAACAGACTGTTTCTCCTATTATGCTCTTTTCAGTGGCTGTAATGAACATGAAATATCATGAATAATTTATAAATAAACTCCTGTCAGCACTTCTGTCAGATGAGGGCTGTCGGCAACTTCCTCTTGTCCTTAATGGTGCAATCAGGCCAATGGTAACCTCATAAGAGCATGCCTGTATTTCCTCCTGATTGTTTACGCTAGATGCATCGCAGATAGGACACTGCACACTGCATTATGGGAAACCTCCCACAAACATTGGAAAAGGCTAACAGCTCGCATGTCTTCACCCAGGAGGGGGAACATTAGCAGTTTGGAGCCAAACAGAATTTCCCCAGAGCGAAATGTAGGTCAGAGTCTATGATTTGGCCTCATTTATGCGAGCTTCGCAGATTCTACCCAAACTACTCTGTAATTGGCAAATGCGATTTACGTTGGAGCTGCAGGCATTTTTCTTGTGTCAACACAAAGCAGCTTCAATCTCGTGACTGCGCAACTCTCAGTAACTGTTCCAGCTGAAGAGAAGCTCATCCAGAATTTATGACGGGCTGTTGTCTGTAGGATCCTGAAGTGGAGCCACATTGTCTCAGCGTTTCGTCCTTGTCACGAACAGCGGTTAACCTGTCTCTTCCCTCCGCCCAGCTCCTGTTACACTCAACTTCTATGGTCCGCAGTGTTTCACTTCGCTCAGGTCATTGGTCGTTATTGAACTGAACTTGAACTGAAATTTAGTTTCTGATCCACAGCCCTAGCTACATATCGGCAGTGTGGTGGGAACTGTCCGTTAGATTGAGAGATCTGATTGGCTGCAGCTGTCTGATTCAGTCCTGCTCTCTGAGCATGAACCACACTGTGGTGATCTGTCACCCTATGGACGATTTTATCTGGCTTCACACCGAAAAGTGATTTCACCAGTAATCATTAATAGTGGTGTAACGGACCGTAGTTGATCCGTGATCCGTATGGATCCCCCACAGTTCGGCATGCATGTGAACCGCAAATTAATTAAAAGTTTAACCATAATAGTGTGAAATACAGTTTTACTGCCGCTGTTACTTTTTAAAGTAATAATTCCCTAAATCTTGATGCAGAGTTGCAGTGAAAAGATACAAGCGCCATTTTAAAAACCAGCAACCTTACTTAGCAGAAGTGTTGCAAAGACGAAGGCTGCATCTAAAATCTCTCACTCATTCACTCACTCACTGTTCAGTCATACAATAAATTAATAATTTTCTGGATAGAGTTTTGTGTTTGCAAGTTTATTCAAACATTTGAACATCTTTGTGTCTAACTGCCAGCTAGCTAGCTAAGTGACTAGCTAGTTGCAACTGACATTAACCTGCTAGTTAGATAATACCGCTACCTATCTAGCTATCCCTAGCTAACTTAATGAAAGAACTAGCACCCAGCTTCATCTGTTCAAATTAGTTGAAACCAACGTTAGCTATCTAGCTGGCAGTGAAGTCCAACGATCAAATGTAAAATGTATATATGTGCACTATATAGTAAATGGTGAGCGATTTCGGACACAGCTGAAGAACAGCAGAACAAGCGCTCGGAATTTACGTTGTTGTAATATTATGTCAACTTGAGTCCAGTGGTTCCAACACTGCAATGGAAATCATGGCTTTAAGTATTTTTTAGGTAATAAATGGAAATAAGTGGAAAGCAAAGTTATTTGTCCCAACCCAACCCCCTTTTTTTTTTTTTTTTTTTTGCTGATCTGAAAAGTGATCCAATCCTTGACTCAAAAACCATGATACAATCCAAACCGTGAGTTTTGTGATCCGTTGCACCCCTAATCATTAATGTTAGTCTTTCACATCTGTCAGTACATTACTGTCACTTAGCAGGCGCTCTTATCCAGAGCACCTTACATAAGTTAATTTTGTTATACATTTATACAGCTGGATGTTTAGTGAGGCAATTTTGGGTTAAGTACCTTGTCCAAGGGTACAAGAGCAGTGCCCCAGTGGGGAATCAAACTAGCAACCTTTTCGGTCATTTCGAAAACCTTTCAGTTATGAGCTGTACTCCTTATCACTATGCCACATTGCCCCAATAGTACCTAGTTGCAATACATGTTTGTGGAGCTCCACCGCGGGCCCTCCCCAGCTCTGAGTGTGGATGGAGTCCTCGTGGGCTGCCCCTCTGACCCCTCTCCCCCCATCTCCCCCTGCAGGGTGAGCTCGGAGCGCAGAAAAGAGAAGTCCCGGGACGCAGCGCGATGCCGAAGGGGGAAGGAGTCGGAGGTGTTCTACGAGCTGGCTCACCAGCTGCCCCTGCCCCACAATGTCACGTCCCACCTGGACAAGGCCTCCATCATGAGGCTGACCATCAGCTTCCTGCGCATGAGGAGCCTGCTGGCCAGTGGTCAGTAGCGGGCGGGGGTTAAAGACACTATATGTCCTCATAATATGTCATGCTTATTTATTCAGAGCATTTTTGCAAACACAAGCTTATTGTACACAAGATCAGTCAGATATGTTAAAATGGTTAAAAACGTGGGTTAGAGGTCAAAATGATTAAAAGAACACCCAACTTCCATCTCACTCTGTCTCTGTCTCATCTCCCCCTCTCTCTCTTTCCCTCTGTTGTCATCTTCTCTTTTTCTTTCTTTCCCTCCCTGTCTTTCTTTCTCTTACTCTCTTACTCTCTTACTCTTTCTCTCTCTCTCTCTCTCTCTCTCAGATGAGGAACCAGAGAAGCGGTCCGAGTCCAGTCTGGACTCCCAGCTTAACAGTTTCTACCTGAAGGCCCTGGAGGGGTTCCTCATGGTGCTCTCCGAGGACGGCGACATGGTCTACCTGTCGGAGAACATCAGCAAATGCATGGGCCTCACCCAGGTACCCCCCTCTTCCCACCCACCAGCACACCTTGCTCTGTGGAGCTCATACAATACCTGTACCGGGTCCTCCTAACCTGTCCCTCCTGTCTGTTTCAGCTTGACCTGACGGGACACAGTGTCTTTGACTTTACGCACCCTTGTGACCATGAGGAGATGCGTGAGATGCTCATACACAGAACAGGTGAGGCGCGCACCTGTCCTCCGTCCCCGACACACACACGTACGCACCTGGTATGCGTGCCAGACGCACACCTGAATGTCTGAGCTGTAGCTTGGTCTTCACTTGTGACACGTGTGCGATGAACTGGTGGCAGAGCTGCCATTTGTTTGTGTATATGAAACTGAGCCACAAGAAGGCGCTGTGGTGTTGCCATGTGATTGGTGGACCAGCTGTAATGAGATGGCCGCTTTGTGTCGCAGGCCCCGCCAAGAAGGCCAAGGAGCCGAACACTGAGCGCAGCTTCTTCCTGCGCATGAAGTGCACACTCACCAGTAGGGGGCGCACCGTCAACATCAAGTCTGCCACGTGGAAGGTAAGATGCCCTTCATGCTCAGGGTGTGTGCTTGGCTCTAACTGCACTGCATGAAAGCTCTAAAGCTGAACCTGAGGGAGTGCTGTCTAACACTATCTTTGGCAGCTCTGTTTTTGGTTTTTTTCTCCCCTGAGGCTCAGAGAGAGAGAGTGGGATTACTGTAATCTCAAGGACGAAAGCGTAACCCACTGATCTGCCTGCATGGCTGTTTCCGCTAATCCCAGGCTATTCCTGCAGCGAGGGTGCTTACCCAGCCCCTCGTCTGGGCCGTCTGGAGGCCTCTGTGACAGGCTGGCCATTGAGCCTTTCAGTAAAGCTACACGTTACTGGGAGTCATTACAGAGGCTCGGACTGGCCTGCAATCCCGCTGTGGTTGAATGGGCTGCAGGGTGGACACAACCACTCCAAGAGACCCCAGAAAAGTCCAACTATAACCCTCCTCTTCTATAGCGTATGGCAGGGCTGCCAAACTGGCTATTTTTACTGTCTTATCAGCCCGGTCATTCATTCAGCTTGGTATTATTTTAATTAAAGTGGACGTTAGATTGAAAGGCTCATTGTGGGTTCTGTGGTCGGGTGTTGTGCTGTAGCCTGTTGTAGAAACCTCATTGTAAGTGGATACAGCTAATCAAAGAAATGGGCCGGTTAAGTTGGAGCGAGGTCACAGGAAAGCGGTGTGTGCCAGGTCACGAGCGACCACTCCCCCGCTGTGGGGAACGCTCGGGTGTTTTGGCGGAGCCCTCTCATCAGGTGCTCCCCCAGGTGCTCCACTGCACGGGACACGTGCGCGTGTTCGAGAGCCTTGAGGGCGAGGGCCAGAACGGCTGCGGGTACAAGGAGCCGCCCGTCCCGTACCTCATCCTGATCTGCGAGCCCATCCCGCACCCCTCCAACATCGAGGTGCCGCTGGACAGCAAGACCTTCCTCAGCCGCCACACCCTGGACATGAAGTTCTCCTACTGTGATGAGAGGTGAGGGGCGTCCTGACGCCGGGAGGGCACGGGTTCGGTTCCCAAAGGAAGAGTAGGTTACTAACTTGTTCTCCCTCAGTAAGGGTCCATCGGTGAAAATGGATGTTTAAAATGTAGTATTAATATTAACAGTAGATTTATACAGCACCTTTCTTGGTTTTCAAAGCACTCTGTAAGATATCCTTTTCTTCAGGGTTGTTTTCCAGTTCGATAACAATATGACTATGTCCTTTAAAGATATTCCACACCGGCAGGATGTTTACTTGCGGCGCTCTTGTTTTTATGACATGAGCTTGATTCCAGATGCTTCCATTATTAACATGCCCCTCCCTGGCCCTGTGCAGATCAGGTAGCAGGTTAACAATGGCCACAATCATGATGCCAGTAGACTAAGGAACTAATTTAATTCATTTTAAAATGTGAAAAGTGTACCAGAATTGGACAGGATTATTTCCCTAAAATAATCAAAATATGCCCCACTTTCAACACTACCTGATAATCAAAAACCTTCCCTCTTCCTGGGAGGGGAGAGGAAATGTTGCATACTGGCTGTGCAGTATATGGCTGCCTGCCACCATTTAAGGGGCAGTGAGTGACAATGAGTTAACACTGAAATGAAATTTCTTCTCCTTGCTGTTATAATTAGATGTTGGTCTTTTTTTGTACATTTACATAGTTATGTTTTCCGTTCTGTTACATTCGTAATGTAAATAATAATAGTAAACTGCACACTTTTGTTATTCTTCGTTATTGCAATTGAATTATTGTTACTGGTTACTTTTTGGATACTGCTTTGGCTGTATGAATGTGAACATTGAATTGTAAGGCAGTGTCACCACCTAGTGGCTGCTCTTTGAAAAGGCAGAGTGGAAGCTGTAAAATAGTGCATGTCGCCAGTCTTTCCAGTCATCACAACTGTTCTAAGTTTTGAAAGAGTGGTAACGCCCCTTCCCCCCCCTGCAGGATCACAGAGCTGATTGGCTATGAGCCAGAGGAGCTCCTGAACCGCTCCATGTACGAGTATTACCACGCCCTGGACTCGGACCACCTCACCAAGGCGCACCACAACTGTAAGCATGGCGGCTGAAAACACTTGCACCTCCAGGTAGATACAGGACTAATGCATGCAGCCCTCTGCAGTGATGTCATAATACCAGTCAAAGGGTTCTTTCTGGAGGAAGTATAATGTGGAAATCATGAGTTTAAAAGTGTCTAAATACCATATTGTGGCATGCCTTAGAAAGCAATTTCAAGTGTTTCGACATTGTTATGCAGTAAAATTATATTACAGAGGGTATTTTTTATGTAACTCTTTTTGACATAAAAATGTCAGATACACTTGTAATTACCATAATGTAAGTGTATTAGCTCTCTCCTCAGGCATTGATACTTCATGAATCTTGTGACCACATGGTGTCTCTGTCTGTCCTCTGCAGTGTTTGCAAAGGGTCAGGTGACCACAGGACAGTACCGCATGCTGGCGAAGAAAGGGGGTTTTGTGTGGGTGGAGACTCAGGCCACCGTCATCTACAACACCAAGAACTCCCAGCCGCAGTGCATCGTGTGCGTCAACTACGTGCTCAGGTAGCGTCCGTGACCGCCAGCAGCCCCCAGTCTGCAGGAGAGCGCCCGCCACCCGGGCCCCGCAGCTCCATCACCCCGCCCTCATTGAGTGTAACTGTTTAAATGTCATGTGATAGTGTCCATAGTAAGATCTCACGGAGGGCCGCTCACGTTTGGGGAGCAGGTCGACTGTCACCGTCTGTGGAACATTTGGGTGTGTCTGACCTGACCCTCTCTCCCATTTCAGTTCGGTTCGTTGTGCTTTATTGGCATGGCAAATGTGCACATTGCCAAAGCTGTATGCAAAAACATAGCAAACAATTTAATATTGAACAATAATGAAGAACAAGTATGCAGTTTGCATGTCTAATTTTGATAATAATATAGTCAAAAAGAAAAGCTGTAACTGTTCAAATCTACAAAACAAACATATCATAACAATAGCAAGGCAGCCAGATTATACTGTGCTGCCAGTATACAACAGTTCCTCTCCTCTCCCAAGAGGAAAGTTTTTGATTATCAGGTTTAAAGTGGGGGATATTTTATTATTTTAGGAAAATCTTTATGTTGGATTTTGGTATACTTTTCACATTTTAAAATGACATTCAGCTCTGTTTTTTTTGGATTGACAAATTTGGTCTCTCCCTCCCTCCCTCTCTCTCTCGCAGCGGTGTGGTGGAAGGTGATCTGGTGCTGTCTCTGCGGCAGACGGAGACTGAGCTGGAGCCAGCGGAGGCGCTGAGCCCAGAGGCCGACATGGACAAGCTGTTCACCCGGCAGGAGGAGGCAGAGAGCACAGAGAGCCTGTACGACAAACTGAAGGAGGAGCCTGAGGCGCTGACCCTGCTGGCCCCTGCCGCTGGAGACACCATCATCTCCCTGGACTTCACCAACACAGGTCAGCTAATGCTAACTAACGCTAGGCAATGCTGACCATGTCACTGCTGCTGGGCTATAGGAGACACATCTCCACATCCACCACTAACTGGTTCTACTGCTACTGGGCTGTAGGAGTGACATCTCCCCCTATATCATTGTCTCCCCATCCACCACTAACCGGCCCCACTTCAACTGCTGAAGGAAACACATTTCCAGATCTGCCCTTAACCACTGCTATTTTGGTAAAAACTGTTTTAATTGTAATCAAAAAACGTCCCGATTCATACATTGTTAGTGTGTTAAAAAAAACAAGGTGTGTAAAACAATCTTATTCACGGTATTTGCCAAGCAGGGAAATTAAGAAAGGTGCAAATGGCATATTAGTGTCCATTCATATAGGTTTGGTCACTGTACTGTTGAAATTGCCCTCCTCTGGACCTCTCTCTTGTAAGAAATTACACATTCTGGAGCAGAATGCTGTATTCCACTAGACATGATCTAACTTGAATAGCTGTGTCATCCCAAATGGCTTGATTATTATAGAGACACTGACAGGATGGTCCACACCTCTGCCGACACCCTTACAATTGGGTCGAGAAAGCAAACAAACAATTACAGAAAGCAAACAATTACAGAATGGGATCGGGAGTGGGCAATTGAGAACCTTGTCAAACAAATGGTATCCTGACTTACTCAAAAAATGGTATCCTGACTTACTCAAACATGGCATTCTGATTTCATTAACATACAGGCGACAGGTCTGGTTCATTTACATCAAGGGCTGTATTCTCCCATTTGCGCGTAAGTCCTTTTTTGCGCGCCTCCAGTTACGCGCATTTCAGTTACGCGTATTCTCCCCAATGAGCTCCGATCACACCCACAGTGCTTAACTTCAGAATGAAGGCGGGTTCATGAAAGAGGCGTGATTTATTTAGAATAGAAGTAGACTGAGTCACAACCCCGTTTATTTTGGCTGTCGGGAAAACGTGGAATGTGGACTTACGCACTTACCATGTGAATGTCAGTGAAATCCATTCAAACCATAAACAAGACTGATTTTGAAAATAAATGCAAAGGGAGAGCTAAATTACGAATCGCCTCAAAGGAAAGCATTTGTTTCTATGTAAGATATAAACCCAAAAATAAAGTAAATATACCAAATGACACATGTGCTGGGCCTATGTATAAAGACATGTTTGACATTAAGCTTTCGCGCGTACGGTCACACCGGTGTGATTAGCCGTTTAGCGCGTACGCTAAAACCGGTGCGATTAGAACACTAGATTGGAAAAATTCTAGCTAATTCAAGCTTTGAGGAAACAGCAATTTAACTTTAAAAAATATAGCAAATGTGGCAGTGAAAACTATGAAGTTTAATAACGCTAATGAAAACATAATGAACCATATAACATAACACGCATGCTACATAGCAGAAAATAAGTTACATGCGAAAGGGTTAATAAAAACGCACTATTGAGGAAAAGGTGCAACAAAATGCATGTTCCTATGTTCACGCTTGAACTCATGCTGAGTAGCCCATTATTATCTTTTTTCTTATACTCTCTTCCAGCAGACTCTGACATCCAGATGCTGAAGGAGGTGCCCCTCTACAACGACGTCATGCTGCCAGCCTCCAGCGAGAAGCTGCCTGCTGCCAAGCCCCTGGCCAGCGAGGGCGTGGCCAAAATAGAGTCACGCCCCCGGGACTTCCCCGGTGCCTCCAGCTCCCCCTCAGGGCCCAGCACTGGCCGCAGCTCTCCCGAGGTGAGCCCCGCTCATGCTTACATTTATGTTGCTTGGGAGACGCTCTCATCCAGACCAACAGTTTTACACTATCTGTTGATACAGCTGGATGTTTATTGAGGGCGGCTTGGGTTAAGTACCTTGCCTATAGGCACCTTAACAATGGCCCAAATGGGAATGGAAGCCATGACCTTTGGGTTATGAATCCTGCTCCTTACCACTACGCCATACTGCCCCCCTTAGGCAGATGCTCAAGTACTCCACCATGAGATCACTACTATGATTTAGCTAGCCATTATTTACTGGGGGGAGGCTTCTCATTATTTGAATCAGGTGTTAGTTAAAAGCCACCCAATTCACAGATACCAAACAAATGGAAATATAGTCACTACACACTCACTATTTTACATGGAGTGAGCTGGAGATTCATAATGATTTGAGGTAATGGCATGGTTTGATTATTTGAACATTAAGTCTCGAGATGTTTCCACTGCCTCCATATGCCAATATTATACATGTGCCCCCTGCTGGTGCCTGAAGGGTGACCCTCTCTTCCTGCTCTCTGCAGCCCAGCAGCCCAGCAGACTACTGCTTCCAGGTGGACTCTGATCTCTGCAGCGAGTTTAAGCTGGACCTGGTGGAGAAGCTATTCGCCATGGACACCGAAGCCAAGACCCCATTCACCACAGAGGTATGCTAGATCCTGCAACACCATGGCAACACCCCTTTCCCCACTGTGGAGCTGGAGCCAGGCGAAAACATAATTATATGCTGTTTATTACATAATGACCCAGTCTGGTTCCAACTCTGCTGTAGAAAAGGGGTATAATGAACCAGCCTGGTTCTACCTCTACATTGGAAAAGGAGTATAATGAGCCAGCCTGGTTCCAGCTGTGTAGTAGAAAACTGAACCACTGTAGTAACTGAACAACAGTAGATCAGCAGGCTGGTATTGCTTTTAGAGCACAGAAAGGTTGCAGGTTTGAATCTGGGGAGGGCTCAGCATGTTGGGTAAAGGTTTGGGCACTTACAGAGAGGTTCCGTTACAAGTAGGTTGTAGGTTCAAGTCTAGGGTCGCCCACTGCTGTTGAGCATGGTACTTGTGGATAATGTGTGTAATTGCTTCATTGCATTCCTGGCGGTATGTGCGGCTCACATGTGAAAGCTGTTTCAGGACATGGAGGACCTGGACCTGGAGATGCTGGCCCCTTACATCCCCATGGATGACGACTTCCAGCTGCGCACGCTGTCCCCCGAGGAGCTGCTCCCCTGCAGCCCTCCGGCAGAGGGCTCCAACGAGGCCAAGAAAGAGCCCCGCGCCCCATCCCCCCTGCACCTCCTGCATGAGGTGTGCACTTCCCCATGCCCCACCCCGGCCGATGCCTTACTCGCCAAAAGGTGAGCCCCTGACTGGCCATTCTGCCCCTAACACAACTGAACCAAGGTCAGCTTGCCAAATGGCAGCCACAACCCCAAGCATTAAACATAAAGGTTAGACTCCAGGATCAGACACTAAATGTTAACAGTACCCTCCCTTGACATGGTGTGTGTGGAGGGGTGACTATCTTGATGAATAATGGCAGGAAGTGTGCAGACAGGCACAGCATGAGAAGAGGAAGCTTTACACCAATGCTTAGGCCACAGTTGTATCTGAAAAGCACCCTACAGGAGCCACAGAAAAAAACTGCAGCTTCCAATGCAATGCTACATTGCATGGCACTGGGATAGTAGCGATTAGCCATCGCTTTTTTCAGTGTTTATTAGCCAGTGAGCATTGACCCATTAACAGAGCACTGAGGCGAAATCAGTGGAAAGAAAAATTTAAATGTCCTGAACTGATCTGTTAGGTTTGATCAGAGCAGGGTTGGGCAGAGTCCTCTTTTTTTGGGTTTTTGATAGTTTCCTCCCATCCCTCCAGGGTTATGGCGCCAGACAAAGAGCTTCCTCCCAAGATGCCGAGCTTCCAGAGCAGCCCGAGGAAAAGGAAGCTGCCAGAGGCCACCTCGCTGTCTGAGGCTATGGGAATGGTGAGTCTCAGTCCCTGTTATGTCCACACACTGCACCCTCGCTTTCAGAGGAATATACCTTTGTCCCAAAGCAGCTGGATTCCAGTCAGTCTGAGCATTCTCCATGGGTTTGTATTGGCTACTGGTCACTTCCCTAAAGATAGGTAGGGGAATGATGTTTTGTCATTAAGTTTTAAGTAGAATATCCTTTTCCTGTGTTGGTGAACCTGTAGAGATTCAGTGAAGGCATGAGCTCCTTTAAAACCAAGAATTGTTTTGTCCTGTTTCAAGTCACTGTGGTGATTCCTTCATTCATTCATACATTCTTTTTCTTTGTCACAGACAGTCATTTAGTTCTAAAAAGGCTTGCAGAGAGTTGGAATTCATGAAGTAACTTTTTAGCCAGGACCATGAGGAATACTGTGTAGGTTCCAGCTGGTGTTTAACGTTCTCTGGTCTGGTTGTTCTTTTCCCAGGGTGCTTTGCTCCAGGGTGGGACAGACCCTGCAGAGGAGGGGAAGAGAGCCAAAGTTGTAGAGGCCGGCAGCTCAGAGGCATTTGCCATGCATAAGACCGTCTTGTTACTGCCCTCTGGTGGGTATTTACAGGAGGTGAACATTTTTCAAGTCAAATTTTTCCTTTATGTAAATATTTCTGTATTTGGCAGACACTCTCACAGTGACTTTCAGAAGATTACAACGTAATGAGAATCTTCCACATTCTAACATATGGTGTTTCAGGCAGTTGCATAGACCAGCCTTAACAGTGAGGTTTTAGTAATGGCTTACATTGAGCAGGCCTCCGTAACTCTTCCTCTGTTGTTCTTCACGCAGACCTGGCGAGCCGCCTGCTGAGCGGCGGCCTCCCGCAGCTGACTCGGTATGACTGTGAGGTCAACGCCCCAGTCCTGGGCCGCCAGCACCTTCTGCAGGGTGAGGAGCTGCTGCGCGCCCTGGATCAAGTCAACTGAGCTCCGCCCCCTGCCGCACAGTACCGGACACTGCGGCCACGCCCCCTGAAATCCCCCTATTTATATTTTCTATACTCAGTTCTTCTACAATCCAGCTGTTGTCTCACTCCTTGCACACAGCGTATCTAGATGAGCATTCCCCTGCTAACCGTTCTCACCAAACATGTGGTCACCAGTTAATTGCCCCGCCCTCATGCTTCCCCCCCTCCAGTCGCACAACTATATATTTTCTTACAAGAGATTACCAGCATACCATGCAATATACTGAAGCGTTTTTTGGAACATTTAACGAGGTCGAACAATTTTGTTTTTATCTTCTTTTTTTGGGTTGTTTCTTTGTTTCGTATTTCTTCTTGATAAGTGGTGCAGTACAACAGGTGCTGGCCGCACCTGAGCAGGTCCGGCCCCACCCGAATGTTCAACGGTTTCGGTTTGAACGCCGGCACATGACATGTATGCAGCTCGCCCGTTACAGTGGAGAACATGTCACTCGATTCATGCATCTGTACGCGAGTGTGTCTTTGTGTGTGTGCGTGCGTGCGCGCGCTTAGATCGCAGTAACTTTTAGAATGGCAGAGATGGTATGTGGAATTACCAAGGAAAGTCTTGGAAAAAAAATTTTTAAAATTTAAAAAAAAAAAAACCAAGGAAATCATTGTAAAGGAAAAGGGTAAACTTGCTGGCTGTTGGGTTTTTGTCATGGGAGGTTCTGGCAAATTTATAGATGAATTATGAAATAGTTTTATATTTTTAGCAGTCCTTTTTTGCCGGCTCAAATCATCCTGACGGTAGACGTGAAACTCCATGCTTAACTGTATCAGGCGAGTATCAATGTTATGCTTGCTTAGTGTGTTTTAGATTAATCATGCTGAGCTGTTTTCCGTTCTACATTTCAAAGTGTAATGGCACAGATCAAGTTTGTTTCTCATGTTCCTCGTCACCTTCATGCTTTTTTGTCGATGTTCTCAACATTACTGCGTCATACCGCTATTATAAGACTATTATTTTTTTCTGTCCTGTAGGTAAAAGATTTCCTAATATGGTTGTGTCATAGTATAACCTGATCTTTATCCATCCTTCTGCAGTCTGTGGTTTGTTCATCTAACACTAAGTGTATCGTTTCATTACATTAGTAAACAACGAATGTGGACCAGAGGCTGTGTGGACAGTGTTTCATTGCCTTTTCATTTCCTCTCCCCTGCAAATGTGAACTTCGACCTCCTCTGGGGTGTTCTTGGTTCACTACCTACAGTGACACACTTTACGTTGTCACACTGCAAGCACTGCGCAGTCATTTCCTAGCCTTGCTTACCACCCACACATTGACATCTGACAGCCCATCTAACGCATAGGTTAACTCATCAGTAAAGACAGTGCAGTCAAACGGGCCAGCCCTCAGTGGGTGCCTCTCATCACACAAGAGACCAATGGATAATGGGCAAGTCTCCCCTCTGAAATTACTTCCATGTGACTGAAAAAGGTCTTTATGTCCAATGACTACACACATATCCATTCTTTTCACATTTTAAGGAAATTAGAAATGAAATCTTAATTGATTATCCACTTGTCCTGCTATTCAGAAGCATGTGGCATACAGTGGTCTACTCTGAGCATCTCCTCAGCTTTTTTTGAATATAACTTAGGGTAAGGGGAAAAACACAAGCTGTGCCAAGCTATCTTTTCTAACACGAAAGGTAAATGGCATTTTCACTGAGAGAGTAACCGTTGATTGTTATACATGTACATATAACAAATATATAAAACCAGCCTCCACAGGTTTGCAGCGTAGAATACATTTCGCAAGAAGCAGATGCAAAAAGTCAGCCACGCAATGCATTTAAAAGATTCATGTGCACGCAGCCACATTCCTTCATGTGCTCCAAGTTAAGCGACGTCAACGGGATCGTCGAGGAAAGAAGCACGTGCTCGGATGCAGAATTTCGCCTAGACGGACCACCAATTTACAATATTTGCCAATATTTGTCAGAAGACTTAAAGAGCTCTCCATGGGCGTCAGTTTGTTTTGAAAAGTGCTGGGTATAACGACGGCTTTGACGTGTTCAACTAACTAAAGGCTTTTAGAAAGTGGTGGGGACGAAATGGGCCACGACAAAAAGTGGTGGGGACATGTCCCCGGCGTCCCCAGCGTAAATGACGCCTATGGAGCTCTCTAAAGATAGATAGATAGATAGATAGATACTTTATTAATCCCGAGGGAAATTCTGATATCCAGCGGCATATACAAACATACTCACAACA